TCTGAAGCAAAGACTCGAATGTACAAGAGAGGCTACTGATTATTCTCCTGCTCAGTCCTGATTATCATCTTTGCTTTCCCAGTGCCGACTCAAGTCTGTCGTTTTTCCACATAAAGACCTGACTGCACACACAGTGAATAGCCAATCTTAATGTGCCACCTTGAAGCAATTCCTGAAGTGTATGTGGTCTTAGGAAGGCTTGCTGGAGGAGCTAAAACTGCTTTAACCCCAAATACATAAAAGGGGCGGGGCCCACAGCTGGAAGATCCGATTAATGGTGAGAGGAAGACTACAAATAAGACCTAAAACATTTCATCATTTCTGCGTGTGAATAAACATAGCAATGACGTGTATCTATAGGTTCTTATTACATCCCATTAAAGTTTAGGGAGAAATGAGAGATGACGAAGCTGTGGACTTCACTTTCACAGTCAGCACTTCTTTTTATTCACATAAGAAGTACTTACGAGCGAACAACGTCTTTTACTATAGATACGACACAACATGTATTTAGATGAAATAAGAGGGATCTTTCTTATTGGTGATCTGTTGAAAATATCGGGACACTCACCAAAATCCAATCCAGTTGCGGATTTGTACGCAACGACCTATAAATGAGAGGATAAAGCAAACGTTAGGGACTCACGGAGCAATAATGCTGATAGTTACACGAGTCCGCCGCTGACACACTCACCGGTACCGTCAAGTCGCTGAAGAGGATCTGAGGTGACACTGGCTGGCTGCTCCATGTTTACAGACCAGTCCAAGCTAAATGAAAGAGAAACTGAGTTGGTGTCGAACCGCTGAAAAGCTCACAGCTCTCATTCTAACAGGCTCTGAGCTCCCACCAACACTGGTGAGAAGCTGTCACTTAGAACGCGCTGTAACTGCTTTTACGGTCCTCAGCTCAGCAACTTTCACAAACCTCACCGACGAAGCACCAGAGACGGCGCTTCAACCTAAAACCTCCCCGCGGAAACAATGTCAGCTCTGAACGTTCCTGATCCGCCTGAGACATTAAGTTATCTCAAATTCAAATAATGTCAAGAACACAGTTGGAGTTTTATTATAATATGTCAAACAGATCTTCATGAGTGATGAAACGTTATTCCTATCAGCAGGTAGAAGCTGCAATCGGCTTGGGAAAAGTGATCATTATGTTTCTCCTTTTTTTTATCTTCTAAAAAAGTCTTTACATCAAAAAATGCCTTCTTCAGAGATCGTAACAAATACAAAATCACAGTTCAGTAAACCAAAAAAAGACTTCTAAAAAGAGGACTGACTATAATATAATATAGGTTCAATAACACATCATAAAGATACTTGCAAAACACTTTATTTTCAGAATCAGAATCAGAATACTTTATTGATCCCTGGGGGAAATTATTTT